AAGGTAACTAGCAGCGTCACCTCCCGGACCATAATGCCGCAGGGCCTCTTGAACCGTTCAATCACCATGTGCCTGACTTGCGCTACACATGGCCAGACAATGAGGTGCTAGTGTGACTCAGAGAACATGGAGGCGGCGGGCCAACGGGTTGCAGATCACATCTCATCCCAATTGTCAATCCTGTCCGGGGTGACAGACCTAGACTGACTAAATCAAGTCCTGTCATTCACGATATTGTACACACAAAAAAGATATCATTCAACTATACAGAAACGCCTAGCTGCCGACGCGACGCATCTCACAACTTGGACTTGCTAATCTGCGCCCCAGGCTGGAACGTCTTGGTCTTGTACTGCACATGCAGCTGCTCCGTCTTCTGCCTCTGCCACTGGATCTTGTCCGTGACGTCCTTGCCCCTCTTGTTCTCGTTCTTGCCCAGCTGTTGCAGATGCACCTCGTCAGGTCCGTCAGCGAGCCGCAGCGTGCGGATGTTGGCCCACATGGACGCCAGCGGCGTGTCCTGGCAGACGCCGGCCGCGCCAAACGACTGGATGGCGCGGTCGATGACCGTCAGCGCCGTCTGCGGGACGAGCACCTTGGCCTCGGCGATCTCCTTGAGCGCCTTCTTGGCCCCGTGGTCGTCCATTTTGATGGCCGCGTTGAGCACGACGAGGCGGGCGGCATCGATTTCGATGCGGGACTTGGCTACCCACTCGAGGATGACACCGTGCTCCTTGAGCTGCTTGCCGAATGGCGTCTTGGTCGGGTCGTTGATGCGCATCAGCATCCACTCGAGAGCTCGCTCGGCCTAGGACATATACGTTAGAAACTGGACTGTAAAACCGAACAACGTGCGCGTGATGGTCTTACTGCTCCAATGGTTCGCATGGCGTGGTGGATGCGGCCGGGACCAAGTCTGCCCTGGATAATCTCGAAGCCGCGGCCCTCGCCGAGCACCAAGTTGCTGGCGGGGACTCTAACGTCCTTGAAGCTGATGTGGCCGTGGCCGTGGGGTGCGTCATCGTAGCCGTAGACCTGCAGCATGCGGTGGATGGTGATGCCCTTTGTCTCCGCGGGGACGAGGATGACGGACTGTTGCCTGTAGGGGTCCTTGTTGTTTGCGTCGCTCTTGCCCATGACGATGTAAACCGAGCATCGGGGGTCACCGGCACCGCTGGACCACCATTTCTGTCATGCAGTCAGCAACATGTCTCTGATCGTGAGGATCCGCGCCGTGACCACCACATACCGAACCATTCAGGACATATTCATTGCCCTCCTTGCGCATGCTGAGCTGGATGTTGGTCGCATCCGACGAGGCAACCTCGGGCTCCGTCATCAAAAAGGCAGAGCGGATCTGGCCCTCCATCAACGGCTTGAGCCACTGTGCCTTTTGCTCGTCGTTTCCGTACTTGGCCAGCACCTCCATGTTACCCGTGTCGGGCGCCGCGCAGTTGACGGCCTCGGAGGCGACGCGCGACTTGCCGAGCCACTCGGCCATGAGGCCGTACTCGAGGTTCGTGAAGCCAGGCGACTCCTTGTAGTGGCCCTTTGGCAAGAACATGTTCCACAGGCCGAGCTTCCTGGCCTTGACTTTGAGGTCGTCGACGATGGCCGGGTGGTGGTCCCATCTCGATTCGCCCTGGCCGATCTGGGCTTCCAAGACGGGGTCTGCGCTGTACCACGTAGGGTGTTCAGTAAAGCTGGAATTGGTGAAGTGACGGATGGAGATGATCCGCTTACGGGATGCACTCTTCTTCGACAAACTTGGCTACGAGATCGAGCGCCTCTTTGGCGCGATCGCTGAGGCGATCCAGGACCTGGAGGCGGCAGCTTGGGTCAGCGATGCTGTGCATTGAAGAAAGATACCTGAGCTGGGGAGCTCTCCCCGCACTAGCGACTCACAATGGCTGGAACTCTGGACGTCATCTTGAAACTTGAAAGCGAGGCGAATTGGGACAGTACAGACGGATTCGTCTCGGAGTGGGAAAAGGTGATGTTCAAGTCAAGGGAAAGTACAGAGGTTGCAAGAAATGGGGAACAACGTCAATTGGGCATGGATCTCTACTCCCTTTTTGAATGAGGAGTGTTTAGTCTCATCGTACGGTAGACGAGCGATGGGACGAGCCGGCAGCCGAGGTTGATTCTGGAGCTTGCCTAGGGACCCCCAAAAGGTGGGGATTCTCTGGGGTAGCCGTCTTGAACCTCCGCTCTCCGCCCTCCGCGTCTGAGGATGGCCCCAGGGCGCCCCAGATTTTCGAGCAGTGGGTTTCTGCCGTGCATACGGATACAGCTCTGGGTTCATATTTCCGTACGAAGAGTTTAGGTCACTTTGCTAGCTATCTCATCGTCAAATTGTCCATGAGGTGGGCTGAGGTGGGTTCAATACGGACTTCAATCCCGTGACGATAGAACAAGATTCCGGTCGTATCAGATACCTGCACCAGGATCACCCTGGTTCACTGTCTACGAGACTTAAGTTACCAGTCCGCAACTTAGTTAAGGTAACTTGAAGCATTCACTCTATAGTATCATGTCCCCCTGATTAGAATCGTTCACCGGCGCTCAATGATCCACCCAAAAACTCGAAAGCACTGCGGTGGTGCCACTTCGGCGCATCACCGTTGCGGGGGAGCGCCAGCTGTGCCGGCCTCCAGTAGCAGTCCCCGCACCCAACCCCGATGCCTCGGCGTGTGCCTCGGCGTGTGCCTCGGCGCGGCCTTCAGCCCGGCGGGATACTTTTCTCGGTGCCTTGGCTTACCCTTTCCTTGGGAACGCAGTTCCGAATCCCTTGCGCCTTATCACGTTACGCTGACAACGCTTTTAAAGCCGCGAACGATACCGGACATATGGCAATTCTAGTGTTTCTTCAATTGGCTGGCTGGGTCTATTTTCTTGACAAACAACGGCCAAGTAACGTTATAGACGCTCTTCTAATATGACAATGCTTCAAGCTCTCTAGTCTGAGCTCGTCTTTCAAATCCTGAACCTTTTTGTCCCCTCTATGTGCGGTAGTCACCGTTGATGGTAATGTACTCGTGGCTGTAATCGCAAGTCCAGTACGTCGCCTCTTTGTCGCCAGTTCCCAGCCTCACAAGGATCTCCAAATCCTCCAGCTCCAAAATCTCCGAAGCCCTAGCCTCGTTGACCATCTCCGGCTCGCCGTTGACCAAGAGCTTCAACTCAGGCGTGCCGTCGGTAGGTACAAACGAGACATTGGTCTTCTCGGGCGTCACCTCGGGGACGTCGTTGACGGCCTGGCCGGGCTCCGATACGAGCGAGTAACCGGTCGCGCACAAGATACGGCCCCAGTTGGCGTCCCGTCCGTACAGCGCAGTCTTGACGAGGGGTGACCTGGCAATGGTGCTGGCAATCTTGCGCGCGGCCTCCTCGCTGGCAGATTCGACGACGCGGATGGTGACGAACTTGGTGGCGCCCTCGCCGTCGCGGACGATGAGCTTGGCCAGGTCGATGGAGAAGTCGGTCAGGACCTGCTGGAAGGCGGCGTAGTCGGGTGAGTCCTCGGATGAAATCTCCTTGCCGCCGGCGGCACCGTTGGCGAGCAGAGCGAGGGTGTCGTTGGTCGAAGTATCTCCATCAATGGTGATGCTGTTGAACGATCGGTCGACGGCGTGCTTGAGGACGGAAGGCATCACAGCGGGCGAGATGGGCGCGTCCGTAGCAACGACTCCAAGAAGGGTGGCCATGTTGGGGTGAATCATGCCGGCGCCCTTGGTGGTTCCGGCAATGCGGTATTCGACGTTTGGTGACGAAGGCAGCGTGAAGGTCTTGGACATGAGTTTCGGGAACGTATCCGTCGTGCAGATGGCGGTAGCAAAGCTCAGCCAGTGCTTGTGAGAGGAGCCCAGAGCTCCCTGAGCAGCCGGGACATTATCGACAATCTTGGCAATGGGCAGCCTCTGTCCAATGACTCCTGTGCTCATGACAATGGTGGATGACGCATCGCCCTCTCCTCCGACAACCTTGTCAGCCGCGCTGGCCATCAAAGAAGCATCCTCCAGACCTCCCTTTCCGGTGACGGCATTGGCGCACCCCGAGTTGATGAGGACGCTGCGGATGCCGCGATTGGCCTTCTTCTTGAGCAAGTCCCTACTGAAGGTGACAGGTGCCGCCTGGAACTTGTTCTTGGTGAAGACAGCGGCGGCGGCACACGGCCGGTCTGAGGTGAGAAGGGCGAGATCGGGCTTCGTCTTGTTTCCGGGCTTCACGCCGACGAGAATGCCAGAGGCTTGGAAGCCCTTGGGATAGGTACCCTCCGTTGGGACGTACTTCTTCTTGGCGGCCGGAATGCTCTCAGCGGAGACCGAATAGCACCTCACAAACTGAGCCAGGTGGCTGGGAAACCTCTTGACGGGTTGCGCCATCCTGACAATTGGCGATAGCCCAATGCTGTGATGAAAAAGACCTAGAAGAGGGAGGAAGCTCGAGAGCCAATGGCTCACGTACGGCTTGCTGTGATGCTGGAGTTGTGTGAGTTTCTTATGAGAGAATGTTAGTCACTGGGGAAAGTAGAGGTGAGAAGAGAGATTTAGACGACGTAAGGTGTGCGATAACGGCAGTCGCCCAATTTTTTGACAGGGATGGCACAGCGCTGCTGCACCGCAAAAGGCGCATTGAGACCAGTCCCGATCCTGGCAACTTGTTCTGACGCTGCAGCTCCCATGGAATTTCACCGAATCATACCTCAGGTCGCATTACACTTTTTTGAGATTGTCTAGATAAATTTGCTCTGCAATGTAATTCAATTGCCCTGGAGAAAGATACACTTGTTAAATATTTACTGTGCGGCACTGCAACTTCGTCGACCGCTCGCCACCAATTCAAAGCGTTGAAAGGGTCTCGGCTCGGATATCAGACCCCTGTAGCGAGTGAGGTCGAATGGCGGGGAGTTGGCCCCACTCAAGCTTATCGGATCCGCCTCGGTGAGCTTATCGCCTCCCAAGCATAGAAAAAATTCTAAGAAAGTCGCACCTTTGGTCCCTCCAACCACCCAGTCAGCCGAGTCGCGAACACGCTCCAATTGTATACCAACCCGCCACACATCCGCAAAAAGGAGGACATTTCGTCTTGAACATCCGCAACAATGGCGCCCAACAGGACGAAAACGATCAAGAACAAGCATGCCGCCAACGGCTCCGGCATCAAGAACAGCAAGGCCGCGGACCACAGGCCGGTTCCCGATGGCATTGTCAGGAAATCCAGAGACACGCCCAAGGGCACCAAGCCGCTCAAGGCCGGTGGCAAGACGAACCTCGAGGCCCTGTTGAAGAAGCGCAAGAAGAAGGTCTACACTGAGGAGGAGCTCGGCATCCCCAAGCTGAACAAGATCACGCCGGTTGGCGTGGAGAAGCCTAAGGGCAAGAAGAAGGGCAAGGTCTTTGTCGACGACAGGGTACGGATCACTGACGCTGCGATGTCACTCCTATAGTGATGAACGATAACTAACTCAACCCGAACAGGAGAGCATGAACACCATCCTCGCCATGGTCCAGGCCGAGAAGGAGGGCCAGATCGAGTCCAAGATGATGAAGGCGAGACAAATGGAGGAGATCCGCGAGGCCCGCAAGGTAGAGGCCGAAAAGAAGGAAGAGGAGAAGAAGTCCAGGCTGGAGGAGACCAAGGACTCGCTGCGCAAGAAGAGGAAGCGCAACCCCCGTGCCGAGGACGAGGACAAGATCAACCAGTACGCAAGCGCAGGGTCCAAGGCCGCCAAGCCCAAGAAGAAGAAGAGCGTCTCCTTTGCCTGAGGGAGGCACGAGGGGGGTGGTTTGAACACTGAAGAGTCTAGCAGCATGTCTTTGCATCTTGGGCGGCGTTTGGAGTGCCAAAAAAGAAAACATACTGGGTTGGTAAAAAAGTGGGAGGGTCGTCTATTTGTTTCAACACTTTGTTGTGTCGACGGCGTTCAGAGCAGATACCATGGCGAGGGCTTGACCTTGCGCGAGAGCTTAATGCACCACCATAGGACGGCGATCAGCCAGGTATCGGCGGGTTGATGAATCTCGTCGTTGCAAAATACCTGTCTGAATACTAGTCTGTTTCAAAGCTTTGTCCGCTACTGCGAATGTCAATAAAAGGCAGGTGTACTTTTTCTATCTATACCATCTAAGTCTATGTCTCTCCAAGTTCTGTTGTGATGTCTATCATTTGTCTCGCTATTCCGAACCTGCCTTGATCTCCATTCTGTGTCTCGCAGGGTTGAAGTGGAACTCTGACTTGCCGTTTCTGGGCGGAAGTCCGTTGGTCTTTGGAGGAAGCTTGCTGTGGTCCACGTTGAACGCCATGTGGTTGAAGAAATTTGTAACCTAGTATTGTGAGTTCATGATCTCTCGTGCATTCTTGGGATAGCAGGACGTACCGGCTTTGCATGCCATCTTCCGCCTCCGGGCTCGAACCAGCAGAGGTGACCGCCCAAGGAGGTGGTGCACAGAACCGTGTACGGATTCTTGCTGAACTCCTCGTAGGGGATAGCTTCTTCTACGGCAATCTGAGAAGTATGGTTAGCTTGCTCGCGACAAGGGGCTGAATGGAGGGATTGCTTACAGGATCGTCGGTGGCATGCAGGGCGAGGAAGGGAATCCGGATGGCCAGAACCGCATCGGAGGAAGACGCATCGCGGTAGTAGGCACTCTCTGTGGGGTAGCCCCAGCTGACGCATCTGCTTTGGTGAGAAATACTCTACGGGACTGTTGGCTTCTGGAAACTCACTGGACTTCTCTGTCAAACTCCCACAGGTACGTTACGTTCTGGAGACGTTCGAGGTCGAGGTTAGTATGCTTCTGTACCTCCTCCTTATGCCCATTGATGAGCTGCTTCATGCTGGCTGGATAGGCGTGTAAGCACTAAGAAATCAAAGCTCGCATGTTGCGTGATGAGAATAACTTACTTCCCATGACTCGTTGGTAGACCTCTCTGCCAAGAAAAGTGCGCTTCAGCGCCTTATTCGAGACTTCAAGGTTGAAGGGGTTGGAGCAAACAATAGCGGCCGTCAACTGGCAGTCGACTCCCTCCTCGCCACAGTACTAATGTGAAATCGTTAATTAATGTTAGAAGGGGATTGTGAAAACTTAAAGACCTACGTTTGTCAACATGTTGGCCCCGAGCGAGAAGCCCAAGCCAAACAGAGGGCGGTTAGGAAACTTCTTTCTCAACCACTTGATGGTCTGGAACTCTGTCAGTTTGTCTACTGCAAAGCTTCACACGCAGTGTAGATCACTGACCTGACGAAAATCCCATGTTGCCCTGGCATTGTACAAAATACCACTAGTGAACTTGCTGTTGGCGCAACCTCTCGAGTTCACCACGCACACCTCCCAATTTCCCGAATCAATCAACGGCGCGATGGCATGCCTCAGATAGATCTCATGAGAGCCACCCGAGAGGCCGTGCAGAACAACCAACTGAGGCTTGTTGTCGTCCGACGCCAGAGTCTCAAACTGTTGGTCCTCAAAGTACACCGTCCGCGGCGGCAGTGTGCTGTCAGTCTCCTCAAAGGGCTCCGCCACAAAGTCAACGGCGAAAGTGCCCTCGAAGGCCTTGTCGTCGGCGTGGAAGACCTTCCGACGATAATACACTGGGGGGCCGTGCTGCTTCGTGGCAGTCCACATGGTCTGCAAGTGACCGTTGAAGAGGAGCGGGTTCATGTGGCATGGGGGCGTAACCTTTTCACAGATCTTGAGGAGGTCGGTTTGTGCGCCATCCTTCTCCTTGAGGGCCACAGGCGACGGCGCGTGTGTGAAGTTGATTTTGGCATGTCCTAGCCAATCCATGATTCGGAGTCTTCGGACAGCAGTTGATCGAGACACTTTGGCTCAAGAGAAAGTTTGTAATAGCAAAAGATGAAAGTCCCGTCCCTAGACAACACAGCAGTCGACGACGTGAGAACTTCAAGTAGATGAGAAACGAGGGATTAGTCGCACGGCGCTATGAAATACGAAAAGGCTAGCGCTTCTAGAAGAAACCGAAGCTCAAAGTAGGTTGTTGCGAAGTCAGAGTGAACACCCATGTGAGAGAGTGGTTGGAGCCATAAGTCATGGCAGTGGAGCCCCATGGACTGGTAGCTTCCGATTTAAGGTGTGCAAATTCACAATGTTTGCTACGAACCCTGGGTTCTGACTTCAAGTCCAGGGGGCGAACCAACGGGCCATTTGTCTTGTATTGGGTGTAGCACCGAGGGTCTCAAATCAGCCTACTATGGGATCGGCGCCGGGTTCACCAAGTGTCCGTTCTGCAGTGGGATTCGGTGGTATGTCTGGACGACAGCATGCTACAAGCTTGGGAAAAGAAGGCGAATGACGTGGATCACCTAGATAGCGGTAAACAGCAAGATGATTTTGGCGTCGAGCCGAGGCACATGTTCGCAGCCAATCAGAATATAAAGAGGACCAAGTCGCTCATAACCGTACCCAGCGGCTAAGACTGTGTTCAGCCACGCGGTGCCACACTCATCGGGATTCAAATGTTCAGAATTTCAAGCCTGTCCGCCTCCATCCCTGGGTGTAACTTTCTCGGCCACGACGGAGCCATCTTGGTCTGTGCATCTCCCACCCTGACCGGAACTGTGGGGGGATCCACGGCACGTGTAATTATGTAAGGCACGCAGGGACCATGGGCCATTTCTCGACCAGTCGTTCCTCGAGGAGCCTCGCGACCTGCAGGTGCGGCTATTGGACAGCAACCGCGTCGCAACAAGTCAGTCCAGTTCAACAAAGCGACCGTCGAGACTCCATGTAGCGAAGCCTGCGATCCCTATGCAGTCCCAAAGATGACATACCGGGGCTCCTTGCCTTCGGGGCAGGCCTTCAATGGCCAGCAGCACGTCCCCCAACCTTACCACGATCCCTACGGCAATGGCAATGGCAATGGCAATGGCGGCGGGAGCGGGAATGGCCAGAATCCGAACTACGCGAACGCTGCATACGGCACTCACGGCCAAGCGCAACCGGTTCACGGCAACTACCATCAACCGCCTGCCCCAGCTCCTGCTCCCATTCTTCCTGCGCCTACGCCGATGAATATGCAGCCAAACGGATATGGGCAGTTCCCTGCGTATGGCGGCACCTTCCCGCAGCAGCAACCGCAATACCCCCACCATCACCAACTCCAGCAGCCTTTCCCTCACGGGAATGCGATGAACGTACAGTTTGCGCCTCCTCACTCGCCCTTCATTCAAACTACACACGCCTCTCGTTCCCCTGCGCTTGCGCCTGCACCGACACCGACGCCGACGCCGCCGATTTACGCTGAGTATCAGGCGCCGCAACAGCCGCAACAACCACAATTCCAACCTCATTTCCAGCAACAACCTCAACCACCGCCTCAACCGCCGCAGCAGCTACAGCAGCTACAGCAACAGCGAAGCCCCCAAGTCTTTCCGGCTGTACCACAATATGCCCAGTTCTCTCAGCCGCCCATGGGTCAAACTCAGACCGTACCAGTTCTGAACCAAGCTTTCGCCGAACCTTCCCCAGTCCAACCGAGCCCTGAGCCTCACTACGCCAACTCGCCTACTGTTCAGCCGGCACGATCTCCCAGTATAGCGAGAAAGTCACCTGCAATATCCTCGATGAACTCTCCGGCCATATCCTCCAGAGGTTCACCCGCCTTATCGACGAAAGCAAGGTCTTACGACACGACGACGATCCTTGTTCACGTGGCAGAAGAGTGTTTCGAGAAGGCGCGCCGTGGCGTACAAAGAGTGGCGGTATCTGGGTCAGACGAGCAAGTGCGCGAATACCAAAAGTTGATTACGACTGGACTGGCGTGTCTCGAGGCCGCATTCCAAAGTAATCGACTGTCTCCGAGACAAGAGGCGAAAGCTAGGTTGAGATATGCGTCTATCTTGTGTGACGAGACCGAGAACCTTCAAGAGGCAGAAACAGCCTTGAGCAAGGGCATCACCATCTGCGACAAGGTTTGTTGAACTGGGTCTTTACTCGTCCGAGTATTGTGTTAACATTTATTCCAGCACAGATATGCCGATCTCAAGTACTGTATGCAATATCTTTTGCTTAAAGTACTGTTTCAGAGAAACCAGAAGGCGGCATTCATCGCTGTTGACAAGAACATCGCAGACTGTCTAACGTTAGTCATCGTAACCTTGCCTCAACCGATCTTGCCCCATTGCTTACAAAAACACTAGGTTTAAACACATACACTGGGTTTACGCCTTTCGTCTGCTAAAGGCCACGTTTCATGTCCACGCGGGTAGTCCACCTGATGCAGCAGTGCTGGACAACTTGCGCGCTATCGTCGCTCTAGCGAGCGAGCGAGGCGACAACGCAATGGTTGTCTTCGCCTCTCTCTTAGAAGGCTTGTCGGTGCTGAGGAACATGCGCTCTGATACCATCGAACGAGTGCAAACTTGTCTGGCACAAGCCACCAAGTTTCAGCTGGATCCTTCTGTTCAGATTCCGCAGCTGGATGTTTTGACGCTGTTGCTCGATCTTGCGTGTAGCATGCACCAGAAAACGCCCGATATCTTGATTCAAAAGCTGAGAACACTTCAGGCAAAGCTTGATGCAAATTTGGGATCCCAGACATGGACCGATCTGAATCCTGATATCTTGATACCTGTCAAGAAGCACAACTCAACTTCTGCAACTCTCAGCGATGATACCTCAGCAATTCTTCGATCTGGGCCGATTAACGGACAACACGATTACATTGTCATGACCTTTCTGAACCGGCTAGAGATTATAGTATTGACGTAGGCACCATTTACTAGCGAGCTTCCGTGTTAGGTATCCGCTGACCGATAACAGCTACACGTTTAGTGGTTTGGCCGGCATGTACCGCCCTGGTTCGGATCCTAAGAGGAGTCACGAATTCTGGAAGGAGGGATTTGATGTATTGGCAAAATGTAAGTGTGATGCGATGTTCTCAACATGTATGAAGCTGACACAGCAGAAGGGAACAAGGAGATAGCCCCTAGTGTTCCCGCGGCATCTCTGCGCGAGTCGATGGAGCAGTCTAAATGGAGGACCGAAATCTTCTGTTATTTGCAGGCTCTGACGGGGCTATACTTCGCAACTCACAGCCAATGGCCGAAGGTTGAACAGTGCGTGGCACAACTACAGCAGGCCATTACGCCAGCTGTGAACGAGATTTTCAGCATATTTTCGCTCTACCTCTCCGGAGTCTATCATCAAGGCACTGGTGATCTGGAGACAGCGCTGTTGCTCTTCGAAGACGAGAGGTTGAGTATTGATGCGGGCCGTGGGGGTCCAGGTGGCAGAAAGCCTGCTAAGCTGGAGCTGTGCATACTCGCTGCGCTGAACCGTATCTGGATCCTTCAAGACTCTTCTTACCGCGACGAAATGACGTCTACCGAGCTATTGGACCAGTTGCGGCCGATGTGTATGGAACATCAAGACTCAGACATACGCACCGCCTTCAATCTCGTACAGGCAACGGCTCAGACGATGCCCCCACCGTCTATGCATCAGATCAAAACGAGTATCACGAACTCGTTGAATGGGTCTCGGGTTACAGGCAACACGCACTGTCTGGCGATAGCTCTCAGCATCATGCGGTCCAGATTGTTCGATAATGTGGTGGGCGAACAAGCTCTTAAAAGCGCAAGGGCAGCTTCGACACAGGCGAAGCGGAGTGGAAACTTGCTTTGGATGAGCGTGGCGGATGGTATGCTGGCTGATTCTTTTGAAGTCCAAGCACTATTCGCAGACGCCGAAGCAGCGCGACAGACGGCTACGGACTATGCGTCTCACGCATTCACTGGGAAGGAGTAGTAGGTTCGGGTTCAGCGTGGATTATGTTTTCACGGCATTATGGACTGGCGTCTGGTGCGGTATTTGGCCTGGCATGAGCTGATTGTTTGGGAAAGCATAATACCCCCCCAATTTGTATCGCTGCCAGATGATGCGGCGAAATTGACTGGGAGATGACGGAATCGTTGCTTGAGAGGTCGTAGTTATTCTTTAAAAGCTGATGGGCTGTACGACTTCAGCGTATCAGCAACTACTGCTACCTTGCTCCTCTCGTGAGTTGCGTCAACTCTGCAAAATATGACCGTAGGGTTAGGCTGGTACGAGCATACTGCCTGATTCTTGAGCGACCATGATGTCTTTCCTACTTCCCTTACACAAGGGGAACGTGGGGGACAGGGGGTTTGCATGCGATCTGCGAGTGCACGGACCAGACTTCATTGGACCCTTGTCGCAATTGATTGAGTGGCGCGTCCCGTCCGCGTTCCGTTCTACCTAATAGAAAAAAAATTGACCGGCAGCTTCTAGCCCACTTCAAACTCCCCGTCAACGTCTGGAGCTACACTTCGTCACCATTTCCTCCAATGCTTCGCGCAAACACCCTGCGCCTTCAGAGGCTCGGAACTTCCTACGTGTGTGCATCCTGCCGGCCCTGCCTTTCAGCGCCATGTCGGACACGACCCTCTTTTTTCCAGACCACCGCCCTGGCTGGCGACCGAGGCTATAGGAGGAGTAGCTCGAACAAGAAGTCGACAGCAACGCCAGCCTCAAAAGACGATGCGGAACCTAGCAACGATGCAATACCCGAGGTCGAAGCTGATTCTGGGAAGGATACACAGGTCAAAGCTAAGGGCGGTTTGGAACCTAGGAAAGCGAGGCCTAAGAGCGTTACTGAACACCAGAGCGATGCGAAACCTGAGAGCGATGCGAAGCCCAAGGGTGGACGGACGGCAAAATCGATGAAACCAGCACTCAAGAAAACTGCTTCTAAAGCTCAACCGAAGGCCGGGTTATCGTCGAGCAAGAAACCGCCAGCCAATCAAGGAAAGCCCACCGACAAAGAGAAGCCGGTCGACCCTCAAACAGCACCCGAGCCAGAGGTTATAAAGCAGGTTTTTGAATCTTTGAAAAAGCTTGAGCAAAGCTACGCCTCCATCAACAGCAGGCTGTCGAATATTCATGAAGGCACTACAGAAGCGGCTGCCGCAGGAGCCAAAGTTGATCCTGAGAAGAAGGGAGAACTGGACGCATTTGTGGCGAAACAGAGCGACAAGTTGGGTGGGAAGCTCAAGATGATTTCTGGTACTCTGGACGTCTTGAAGAGCGTCTTGCGCTCCCAGTCAATCCCGTTGGACCACCTCGCAAAGAGGCCGAGTACCAAGAAATCGTCGGGCACCACATCAGATAAAGCTTCTGAGCGCAAAGTTCAATCAGCTCGGCGTAACAAGGAAACTACGATTAGGCGTGAGGATATTCGGACGAGAGTGCGAAAGGTGCTGCTTGGCGAGGAGCGAAAGCCGATACCCGAAGAACCAATGAACGTCGCGTGGACATCACTTGAAAATCGCCTTACGACTCCAGTGGGTTTGGCAGCAGCGGCTGCTGGTGCATCAGCTCTCGGCGCAGCTAGGTCTGCCGCCGATACAGCTCCTGACGAAGCGGCTGCCGACGAGACAGCTCCCGACGACAGCGAACAACCCCCCACCAAGCCCAAGAGGGTCAAGAAGTCCGAGAAGCCTCTCGTCAATGTCAAGAGGGTGAAGGCGGAAAGTCTTCACTTAGTACCCATCGAATTACCAGACGCTCCTGAGGTGCCGAAACTCGCGTATGGACTGGACAGAGTCTTGTTCAACCCTGGAGTATACCATATGCAGGACCCCCGCTCGCGAGTCTTCAACTTTGATCCTTACCTCGGCGATATTATGCCGATCAACGAGTTTGACTTCGATGCGCTCCAGAAATACGTCACCTCTTCAAAGGATAACACCTTGATCTCACTTGCAGCCAAGCTGGGTAGGAAGTACACCGGCTCAACGTCCAGCATGACTCAGACGTTGTCCCATTTTCACTTCTTGCTTTCTGCGTGGCGGCCTATCAACCCTGAAAACATGAGTCGTCAGTTCACGCCCGAGTATTCCAGCTTTACTGCTATCTCTCGTGCGCCAGCTGCCTCTTTCCTCCATTTTAATGAAGGTGTGTACGCGATCGATGCCGACAAGGAGTACGACAGTGCCAGTATTCTGAGCATGCTCGGAAAGTCAATGGAGAAGCAATTGACGCTGCCGAAAGAGGAGTTCGAAAAGTATCGCCGTGCCAACTCCGACCAAATCACCGAGGAGGAGCGCAATGCCGCCGAGGCCTTCCATTACACCACCATGGGCGACTTCCTCATGCGTTCTCAACTGGATGCGTATGATCCACGGTTACCAGGATCTGGAATGTTTGATCTGAAGACAAGAGCTGTAGTCTCAATTCGCATGGACGCCCAGGGATTCCACAAGGGACTTGGCTATGAGATCCGCCGCCGTTACGGCCAGTGGGAGTCTTTTGAGCGCGAGTACTTCGACATGATCAGATCTGCGTTCCTCAAGTATTCCCTGCAAGTACGGATGGGCCGTATGGATGGCATCTTCGTCGCCTTCCATAATACACAACGCATCTTCGGTTTCCAGTACATCCCCATTAACGAGATGGACCAAGCCATTCACGGATCCTATGCTCGAAATATCGGAGACAATGAATTCAAGCTCAGCCTCTATCTTCTCAACAAAGTCCTCGACCGCGCGACAGAACGATTCCCTGGCCGGTCCATCCGACTTCATGTGGAGACGCGACCTAGTGACCCTCCTTTCATGTACGTTTTTGCGAAGCCCGTTACAAAGGAAGACATCGACAAGGTCCAAACGCGCAACCAAGCCGCCGTTCAAGAGTTTGAGGAGCAGATCCTTGGTATGGCCTCACAAGAGTCGTCGTCGGAACATGAAGCGCAAGAGACGGAAGTCGAACAACCAGTTGGTCAAGAGGAGGACGAGGAGGCTGTCGGCGTCGATGGGTCCAGTACTGAGTCTAGTAACCAAGTGTGGCAGACGCAAGAATTCTGGGAAGAAATGCAGGAGAAGGTCAATGAGGCAGTGGAAGACGATGCCCTCGGCATTGGCCATGTTCGGGAGGCAATCCACGACGCGCTGGAGCAGAGCGCATTGCTAAAGGCGAGGACACCTGAAGAGGCTCGCTGGTATGTCGACGGCCTCTTGGAGGCACTTACTCGCAACCAAGTGAGCGAGGCGCAGGACAACGATGGAAAGGATAACCAGACAGATGCGATGTCTGCAAGCGAGTTCAGCACTACCTCGGCCGACGACGCTCAAGCTGATGAATCGAACACAGCACAAGAAGCTGTGCCAATCACTGGCGAGGAAACAGAGTCGGCCCAAGAGAAAGACGCGGAGTCATCGCCAGAGAGAGGGGTGCGCAGCTCTCGGAATCTTGGCCTGAAGGAGTTGATTCTCCGGGTTGCTTCGAATGTCGATGAAAATATCGATGTGGACGAAAGCGACATTCCTAAAGATGACACTGCTTCCGACGTCTCCAAACTCCGAACCTTTGAGCGTATTCTCTCTAAGCTGGTTGCCGAGTCGAAGCAGTCGGAAACCAAGACGACAGCTCCGGCCTCAAACATGGAGGAAGCAACGGCTGAGAGTCTTGAGAATGTTGCCCCCAGTGCCGGCCAGACGGCAACCTCCAATGAGTCTCCCGAGGATGTTGACGGCAAAGCCCAGGAAGAAGACGACACACCTGAGCTTGATATCGTCGATAACGAGCTCCTCGGGATGGTCCTGACCGTGCGGAACAAGGTTAATGGGCAATACGTATCTCGCCCCGACCCCCTGGCTCCGTCATCGTCTTGGAACGTGGAGTATTCTATTGAAGACCTTCCTGCGGGCCGCGCCGAGGCCCTGTATAAAGCACTACAGACGCGACGCAGAAAGGTGCTTTCAAACGACAAAAATGCCAACCGGCCGGATCCATGGTACCATATGTTTTCGGGCAAGTTGGAGCAGATGAGTAAGAGGGGCAGGAAATACCGGCAGAAGGAGGAAGAGAAGGCCCGGGAGAACCCGGTTCACATTTTCGGTATGGACGATCCCGTAACTTATGGTGAGGCTTTCGGGCACAGGGCGCAGTGGAAGACGATATCCTGGGACCAATCGACAGACGAGTTGCGAGAGGACGATCTTGATGAGAAGACTTTGAAGGAGGATTCCTTCCAGGAGGACGACTTGACCGAGGCCGAGCTGAGGGAGGTCGAGCTCAATGAGGAGGAGTTAAATCTGGAATCGAATGAGGACGCTCTGAAGGAGAATGAGCCGCAAGAGGGCGAGCTAAAGGAGGAAGAGCTGCAAAAGGACAAGCCGCGAGACTCATAAAAGGGGCTATCGTGGACTTGGGGCTGTATGATAATTGTGTACCTACCATTTGTAATACATGTACAAAAAGGGCGAGAGCGAATCTGGAACGATGTAGCTATTCTTCTCTCAGCATTTTCCTCTACTTGAAGAGTTTACATCTACTTATGTCTGGCTGCCGACGCGGTGCCACATGGTTTGCATTGGATGTTCAGGCCATCGAACAATCGTGGAGGCTATGATTGCGACGCAGCAATGAAGCTCGGCGACACTCCAAGGTCAGGCGCCACATATATCCGCAGCGAGTGCACTAAGTTGAACTCAAAGTCCATCATGTTATAATAGTCATTTCTTCATTAAGCTACGAGGTACGACTATCATATCCTTCACTGTGGCTGTCTTCTCTTGGCCATGGCGCCAATGCGGCGTCTGCCTTTGACCGTAGCTGGACCTATGACTGCCACACCACTTCAGCAAGGATCTGGACAATGTTAGCAATGGCTACACCTCGTCTGATCAAAGTGACGACAGACCCATTGCAATCTGATTCAACCTGCTCTGGACGAGTTTTCTCGCTGGCCCTTATCCCGAACGCCCGGCTATTCTTCCGAAAACGATGAAGCCTCGAAGTGCAGCGGCACCGAAGCAGCGCTGTTTTGTCGTTTGTAGTTTTACACTGCCAATTAATGGCAATCCCTTTGTGATCCTTTTCATCGACGGGGGAATCCAGGGGGGTTGAAGCCCGGCGGAGGCATGAAGCCCGGCGGCGCCGGCGGTGCCCCAGAAGCTCCCGGAGGAGGCATGGGGAAGTTGGGCGGGGGCGCAGCGAAGCCTTGCGGGGCGGGAGGTCCGCCGCTGGGTGGGCGGAATCCTGGGGCGCCCGGATGGAAGTCGGCCGGATTTGTGTAGTTACCTTGCGACTGTGGCGGCCGCGCAGGCAGACCAGATGGCGCGGGGGGAAGTACCGCGCCGCGTCCCATGCCCGGCCCACCCATACCCGGTCCGCCCATGCCTTGCGGTGGTGGTGCGGCATTGTACTGCGTTGGTCCCCTCGGCAGAGGCGCGAATCCGGTAGGAGCTCCTGGGTTCTGGACTTGGACCGGGAGGCCGTTTGCGGGGTCGAATCCGGCGGGGGCACTTGGCGCAGCAGCCGGAGGCGGGCCGTTGAGGAAAGCGGGAGGTACGGCCTGGATCTCTGGGACAATGTTTCTCTTCTTAGCCTGCGCGGCGAGCTCACGTTCCGCAGCGTCACCGTGGCGCTCGCCCTTGCCGTCCTTCTTGAACGCATACTGGACCGAGACCTCCTTGCTGAGGATGTACTGCATGTGCAAGTTGGCAATCGCCGCGTCGGCACTGTCAAAGTCGGCGTAGGAGATGAATCCAAAGCCCTTGGAGTTGCCGCTGTCCTCCCTCGCGACCTTGGGCAGGTTGACGAGCGGGCCGAAGCGCGAAAAGGTGTCGTAGAGGATCTTCTCGTCCACCATGCTGTCCAGGTTGCCCACAAACAGCTCCGCGCCAACCTCTGCCTGCTTCTGCTTGTCCGCGCTGGCCTTGTTGACGCGCAAGGACTTGCCGTAGAGCTTGATGCCGTTCATCACATTGGCGGCGTACTCTGCGTCGCCCGGCGTCCTGAACTCGACGAAACCGAAGCCCTGGTGGTTCTGGGTGACACGGTCACGGGGCATGTGGATGTTGTGGATGGGGCCCATCTGGAGCATGACCTCGTACACCATCGCTGGGGTCGCACGCTCGTCGATGTTTCCGATGTAGATGGTCGCATCTTTGTCTTGTTCCCTGTGTCGCGCGACGTAGGTTAGCTCTTTGTCCTTGGACTTCTACTTCAGGGCGAATTGTTGCTCACCAATGCCTGTTCTGTGCCATTTTGATGTCTCAGCACTTTCGGTGCTCTCTGCGCGATCTAAGAGCGATATCCCAAGACAAATCGGAGTGCCTGAATATGTGAGGCGAAAAGTCGTTGCTCGACTTGTACCAGAAGAACCTGGAAATTTTGGCCTTGACATTCAGTCGCGGTTGAGCTATGGCGGTACGTACCTTATCGCTCGACGCAAGGTCCGATAAGCCTCCCTGCGCGGTTGTTCCGGCGGCTCCACTTGATGCGTTTTTCCGGCAGACGAAGAAAAGTTCAGGAAGAGCTTCCAGCGCATCCATCACCAGCTACCTTGACGCAGCGACGAGACATCCACGAAACCCCAGCGACGACGAAGACCGCCATCACGCGTAACTAAGTTGATTCAACGTATCAAATATTGTCGACGCCACATTCCAATCGTCAAGATGTTCGCCCTCTCCGAAGAGTCCAAGGTGCGACAACGCAACGACAGCTAGATCACATCGCATAGAGTCGAGTCTAATCATTGCATATTGTAGGAGCGCATTGGCAAGATCATTGAGATCTCCCGCATTGCCATCCACTAGTATGTAACGTCCTGTACTCGATGAAAATTGAAGCCAGTGACTGACCTATTCGTAGCGGATACCTCCCTCTCGTTCTCTACCTCGGTACGACACCAACGAATCTTCGATGATTCACTACTACGACGACGAAACTGACTATTTTTTGCAGGCTACACTCGCAGCGAGCCCCGTCCCGCTTTCATCCGGTATGCAGTACTCCAAGATGCGCGACTATCATGGAACTTCACAACTAATCCTTCTCTAGCCTTATTTCTCCCCTCTCTTAAACGACGCGTGTCTCAATATCGACTTTCTGTACAATATCAGGCTTGCGACATTTTGGAGGCTAGCCAACATTTCGGGGGTGGCACAATGGATCACCGGCAATGGTGATGAGGAAAATGCAGGCCGCGGCTCCGGCGCATTGTACAACTACATATGTAATCAAATGAAACCTCTCTGACGACATACTCTTCTCTATTGTACAGAACTGCGGATGGTTTGGTGGCGCGGACACCAATATTGGAGGTAAATGGATGCGGTCGGCGGGCTGTTAATGGGCCGTGGGAGCCCGGCGACGGATAGAACGCGCATTTCAGCTCATTCTTGTACACCACGTTTGATAGAGCTTGAGGTAGATCCAGGAGACGTTCTTCCCATCGCGAATTGCCAGTCCCTGTAAGCCGAAAAGACGAAATACGTAGCTGAAAGCTCAGGCGGAAGTCAACAAGCTTTACAACCGCAATTCAAGATGAAAGTTGCGGCATCTCCATAATATTTGAGGCCAACAGAATGACCACGTCAAAAACAATTACATTTACTGGCATCGGCGCCACTGATATCCTACATTACTTTCTGGTCACAGCCTGCGAAAGGAGGTTAACTGTGGCTGAAGCTCTGGAAAAGTGACAGCGGAGCCGCAATTTCATAAGCTAACATGACGTATGAATAATGATTTGGTCGCATCTTTTTTGGTAAGCTACAGTCATCAGCCACACCAACGCTTCACTGAGCTCCTTTTACACAACTCCCGACACCTGAGCTTGACCGGAGTCTCTGCAACTGGATGCGTGTGGTCGCAGTCTCGTTTTCTACATAGAGCAATGTGACAGAGGTTCCTCCCACTTCTATGTCAGAAAGCAAAAATGCGGGCATCTCACCCGCTCTGGTTGAGTCCGTCGCCGGTCTCTCGGCCGGCTCGGTTGCGACTTTGGTAGTTCACCCGCTTGACATCGTGAAGACGCGGATGCAGAGTAAGTGAAGCAACGCTACATCTATGTGCAAACTGTATAACAACAGTCGCTGACGAGACGAACTTAGTTCACCGGAGCGCGGCAAACCCTTCAGTGTCGTTGACAACCATGTCTCTCATCCGGACGCTCACACAGAACCCGCATCCCATCGCCTCCCTCTACCGCGGTCTAACGCCGAACCTCATCGGCAACGCCTCAAGCTGGTCCGCCTTCTTCTTCTTCAAGTCGCGCGTCGAGCGCGCCATCGCGCTCTGGAGAGCCGGCTACATGCCGCTGACGAGCGGCTCCGGTCCCGACGCCCGCAACCTGACAAAGGAGTACCTCACCACCCAGGACTTCTTTGTGTCGTCCGCGCTCGCCGGCGCGCTGACGCAAGTCCTGACGAACCCGGTCTGGGTTCTCAAGACGCGCATGCTCTCTTCCGACCGCACCGCTGCGGGCGCGTACGCCAACATGTGGACCGGCGCGCGGCAGCTGTACCGCTCCGAGGGACTGCGGGGCTTCTACCGCGGCCTCGGCGTCAGTCTGATCGGGGTCTCGCACGGCGCGGTGCAGTTTGCCGTGTACGAGCCCGCCAAGAAGATGTACTTCGCTGGCAGGCAGCGCAAGGGCGACAATGGCGGGCGGTTGAGCAACGAGGCGACGGTGGTTATCTCGAGTGCCGCAAAGCTGGTCGCAGGGGCTGTGACATACCCCTATCAGGTGCTCCGGAGTCGTTTGCAAAACTACGACGCCGATGAGAGGTTCGGACGGGGTATCAAGGGTGTTGTGAAGAGGATCTGGCAGGAGGAGGGTATCAGGGGTTTCTACCGAGGCCTGATGCCGGGAGTTGTGAGGGTGATGCCGGCTACCTGGGTCACTTTCCTTGTGTACGAGAACGTCAAATACTACTTACCGCAATGGGCGGCTTAGGCTTGTGATGATGGTGTCAGAATAAGAGATATCATTCCATATCGGAAATCCTTGTTGATGAGGACGAGAATTCGATGGTCGCACTTGCAATGTCAGGGATGTCATTTGGTTTTCATGGCTTTGTAGCCCAGGACTTAAAGAATATGTTCATGAAACGGTAGCTATTGTGCTTTTCGTAATCATGGACGTTGCAAACGCCCCTTCTGCTGATTTTGCTATTTGATGCCACACTCCATTCAACCCATGTGGAAGCCGTGTCGTCGTCATTAGCAACAGGTAAAGCTGAGACCAAGTCACATGCCAGGAAATATTTAATTGGCTTTAACAGAAAGAATGACAATGAACCTGGCTTATATGATATACTGGCGCAGGCTTGGTGCCATGGATGCTTCCTGGCTGGGGGTTCGCATTCTGCATAGAGGTTTCTGAACTAGACCAAGGTTGCGAGTCGAACTGAACGAAAGGAAAGTCACATGGTTGGCAGAAGTATTGCACAATCCTGTATCATTCTCTATTTTCCTACGCCGTCGGCACCGCATCAAGTGGCTATTGAGTAATCAAAGTCTGTTGCGTCTTCGTTTTGCCTTTCGATTTGTTTTATTGTAGCTCATATCTCATATTGCTTTCATAACGGCCGTTCACTCTCCATCAATCATCAAACAGACCGGTGCTATCATATTATTCAAGGAAACGAAGATGAGACGATACAGACGAGACAGCAGGGGTATGTTCTGCTTTCAGAGATCTCAAATCTTGTGTTAAGAGGCACCCTGTCGTTCTGAATTGATTTATACTCATACTCGCACCAGCCTCACCCAGTATATCTATTCAAGGCGGCTCGATAGATGGCCAGTATGTGATGAGATCAAATTACTGTAGCTACATGTTCATTGACACCTCATCATGGACCGAAGGAATTCATCCTGAAGTCGTATGGTCGACACAATAGATGTGAAAGCCGATGAATCGTCAAAGCTCAAACATAGATCGGAGGCACTGGAAAAGGGGCTACGAGACGTACCCTGTTTTCCCTGCTTCGTGAGAAGTCTACTTTCAAAGGTTATCAAGCGCAAGCTCAAGACTTTCACCGGGCCTAATTACACGCCAGACCCAAGACTTCACTGAATGAACAAGCCCAGAGGAATGTACCATTTCTTCGAGGCTAGTTCTACGAGCAATGTTGAAGAACACTGAGCCACTTCCATCAAAGAAGATACCGATCCACGATCCTGAGTCTCACACGTGGCCTGTCATAAGCAATGCTATCGCTCTGTGCGACAGTGTAACGTACTTCGCGAATGTGCAGAAGGCCAGAGAGGGGTTTCGAAACACGGAAAGGCTGTCTGGTTTTCACCCAAGTCATGAGACCACGGACTGATGTGCAAAGAACATGGCGAATCTTTCCCCGAGAATGACACTTGTTCGATCTGATCATGTCGTAATCCAAAATGCCAGATCACAAACGCTATTACCACCCAGCCATGCCAGCCTTCTCCTCGAACCGATACGCCGCCTACCCCATTTGTCTCTCACAACTCGGCACACAAAACAGCAAAGGCCACACATCCCACGCCTCCCAGCGGGCGCGGCATTCGACGTCCGAGACAGACAGCCCACTAACATAACACAAGGGCTGGCTATACCCCCCCTCCATGTCTCCTACTCGAGTACCTACCTTCCTACTTGCCTCGGAACCAGCGCCACTTTCCTTCGCGAGACACTCGTAGCAGAGTAATAACTCTGTTTTTGCTACTTTTCCCGCGTAGCCTGTAAGTACTGCTGAACGGGGACCGAACACACCACCACCACCACCACCATCTCACCCTGAAATGGAATGTTCCGTCTCTCCTCCCGGCCCCCGGTTACCCTCTCAAGCCACCCAGAAGCCACGAGGGGCGTTTCTCAGTTCTCACACGTAGGTACGGAGATGTAAAGAAAGAGAAGAAGCAAAGAAAAGGAAGGCGTAAGGAGGTGGAAGAGAAGAGCCGTGAGACTTTTTGACATGTCACGTCCGGATCCCAGCGGAAAGGCAAGCCGGCAGATCCCACAGGTCATCCATCCATCCCGCCCAGCCAGCCTAGCCAGCACACCACTCCCAATCATCACCTCACTGACGCGCGCCTCGATCGCCAAAAGGTACCTAATCTCGTAAGTGGTGAGATGGAGAGGAGAGCAGAGGCGATCCGGATATCCAATCACCGACGAGAGGAGGTCCCTGACCTTCCCGTACCGTTCTCCTGCAGGCTCTCTCTCTCTCTCTTCTCACAGAGCGGGCGGGCATTGTGGATAGAGGGGAGAAGATGGACCACTTTATGAAGTCCTTGCCGGATCTAGCCAAACGTTACACGTACATCTTTCTATGCGCGTGTCTTTTCCCACATTTCCTTGCCCCCTCCTATCAGGACCGCACTCGCGGCATCGTGGTATGACAAGAACACAAGGACACAAAAACTTGAAAAGAGGAGAAGAAAAGCAAGTAAAACTGTAGTCGGGACGGAAAAGGGGTCCAAAGTGCAGGATCTCATGATGAACAACTGTCAATCTCACCCGCACGCACGCGCACATACACACACTTACGGATACCTGCGCATACATACACACTCACACATCTGTCACGTCCCACCGCTCCTTTTTCCAGGAATCGGTCTCGAAGGAAATGGGGAGGGTGCCGAGGGAACAGGAATAGCGTAGGAAACAGGAGATCTACCAGTAAATCCTTGTAAATCCCGTCGTGGTGACCAGATAGCCGATGCCTTCTCTTCATCGTCAACTCGGGAAATACCTTATCTGGGATATATCTCATCTTAAGCGCGGAAGACCCCCCTTCTAAGAGGCGGGTAGACAACGTAACGGTTACACAAAGAAGCAGCCATCAACCTACCCATCCATCACAAATCATCCACTCAGAGCCCCAAAACATATTCTGGCTCAGGGCTTCCCCCAACTGCCGGAATGGCGTTTTTGCGAAAAGAAGGTAATCGCTGTTGTGTCCGTACCTATAGGACTCTTCCGAATCTGCGACTTTGCCAGCATTCTTGCTCCCCCATCTCCGATCCAAGACCTAGACATGAGGAAGAAACAGGCCACATCTCAGTTTCTCATGCCACTCTGTTCAACACTCAACTGAACCCCCTTTCGCCCTCTCTCTCCCCGCCTTTCCTCTGACCACCATGTCTCTGGAATCGTGTTTCTCCTTTTCACGACTTTTCACACATTCCCACTTCTATACACCCCTAGCTACCTGACCTTGTCTCGCTCGCAACTACCTTACCACCTTAGCTGTGGTCTTATACCTCCCTCGCCCTGTTCCACCACTTCTTCAAGACATAAGAACACTCACCAAAAAAGAAGAAACCAAAGTGAACGGAACACAGCTCACACCCACTACTGCTGAGTGATACATCCCAAGAGACAGACCTCACTCACTCTCCATCTGGATCAGAGTGGCACCGTTGTTACAGGTCACAAAAGTACACACACACAGGAAAGAAAAAAAACACCGCACGTTGGGTTTTTGATTTGGGGTTTCCCAACGGCCGCGGATCCGAAGTCCCGCGCTCCGCGAGGCCGGGTGGGCTGCGCTTTCAAGCAGGACGAGATGTGACAGCGTGAGGAAGGGTGTGAGAACAAGAAAAAGAACAGGATTACGATGATTGATGACTACGGTCACGATGATGGAGAATGAAGAAAAAGGGAGATAGGACTTCGACCGTTGACTACCAAAGTATCCGTAAAATGCACGACATTTCTCGCCCCTCCCCCCATCACACTCCTCCTGTTACTGACCTCCTCCTTGCCATGCTCCATCTCTACAGGACCTACCGACGTGTCAAACCTGCGTCTCCCCTCCTCCATAATGCCCCTCCAACCAGAACCACAGGAATGGAGTGCTGGGCAACGGTATCGCAGCTACCTAAACGACCCTCAAGCCCACCTGGTGCCCACGTATCCCGCCTGTCCTGAGTCTCCAGTACCGGACCCCCAAAAGCCCAGAGTCCAGCCCATCAAGTCAAGCCCAGCGGTCCAGCGCAGGTCCAGCCAGCCATTCACGGTTCAAGCGCCAGCTCTCATCTCTCTCTCTCCCTTGCTCAAGATTACTCGAGAGGAGCAAAGGTCCCCCTAAAGAACAAATCACAAGACCACGTCCAGAAGTATCCTGGGGCTCTAGCGTGGCAAAAAAAAAAAAAAAAACTAAAAAAAACTCCAAGGTGGTATCCGTAAGGGGGTTTGGGGGCAAGGGCGACAGGCGATAGGCGGGAGCAAGAGGAGAGAGAGGGGGACCAACGGGGGGAATGAGCAGAGCTTTTTCCCTCGCAGCAGCTCCACGCTGCGGTACCTAGACTACCAGACGTTGAGACTTGAGATGGAAAATGGAGCCCTTTTTGGGCTTCTGCGTGGTTTGCGTGGTGTCAGTTGCGGCGCCGAACAAGCATCACCCCTACTCCGTGCGCTCAGCTTTTGTTTCCCGTGTGCGCGGCGTGCGGCGTGCCGTGGGACCCCCATCTTTCTCGCCCGCGCACCCGTGCCTCCTCCTCCTCCTCCGACTTACACTGGAGAACGGCGACTACGGAGCAAGAAAAAAGAACGCACGCGCTTGTACTTCATCGCTCGTTTCCCCTCTCCACTCCTTTGCCGTTCTCGCGGGACTGGTTCAGGCCATGGCAAGGTATTCCCTACCGCTGTTCGCGTCGTTTATAGTGACTTTGTGCGTGGTATTTCAACCCAGCCATACATATCAAGTTGGGCGATGGGAAAGAGACTGAGAGATAGAGAGACAGACTGAGCAAAAGGGCGTGAGTCATCTGATACAGACTTGTTCCAGCACCGGAACCAATTGTCATCCAACGCTCGCAAGCTCCCGGGTCCCCGCAAACCGCACTAAGATACGCAAGACAAAGAAGAGGTCAGAGACAAAAGTTGAACACACTTCCAGCGGCCCAAAATGACGAAAGGAAACCATGTGTCCCGCGTCACTATCAGATTTGCCACGAGGGCCTCCGAGTACGGGTACCTACCGTTCAGGACCAAACCCAGATTCTGAAAGGGGACATCGAACAAACGGCGCTCAGCGGTTTTGCTCGGACGTCGTCGTCCGTCCTCGAGCAACACACCCCCCTACCTAACCTGGCCTCGTCTCTCTTCCCTCCCGAGTCTTTTCCAGTGCCCCCCTCCCCGCGTGCGAGTGCAACAACGACGTTGGAGAATAGGACCCGAGCACCGAGCAACGTCGCATATCTAGTGTAGCAAGCGCCCTTTCGTCCCCCTTCCCAAAGATCATCAGGAGTTACGCTTAGTTCCCAAAGAGTCGTCCCGTTAGATCTGCTCGTGTAAAACCACCGAAGGGGACCACTTGAAGACAGGGTAAGGATAAAACAACAACCCAAAACATTGGCGACAAGTCACAATGGGCCCTTCCTCGGTTCTGTCAAAGTTACGCACAGAAGCTGAGCGTCTTGAGTTTCCTCTCGACCCCGACCCCTCCAAGCCTCGAGAGGCGCCCCGAGAGGGTCACATTGAACCGAAAGATGACAAGAACAGGAACAGGGGCAAAAGGGGACAGAAAATCATCTCGAGAGGGCGGGGCGGCCATTCGCAATGACATCGTCAAAGAGGATAGCGCGAAAAGAGGATTTGAGCAGTCAGGTAAAGATAATAGAGGGAATTAACAAGAAATTTGAACAATGTGATAGAAGTCTCCTCGCTTGGACCTCTGTTGATTTTCTTTCTGCTTTCTGCAGCGCCGCGAGCGCAGCAAAAGGGGTCGCATTGTCAGTCCTCACCTGCATTCAGACTGCCCTAGGATCGCGATCTCTCTCTCTCTCTGACCTCTCTGATGACGGAGGGTCGCACAGTGGGGTTCCATAGCCGTGGGTTTGAGCAGAAAAGAATTTTGGACGTGACGGGAATCGCTCCGGGTCCAGTCTGAACCCGGATGAAGGAAGGATTGAAGGTTGTTGACCCCTCCCTCCCCATGGGTTGGAAAAGGAAAAAAGAGACGACATAGCTTAAGCGAGAACGAGTCAAGATTCGCGTGGTTGGTGGTTTGATGGGTGCTGGAGCCTGAAGGTGGTATCGGCGATGATGGTTCCCCCGTCCGTTCCTCCCGGGTCGTGGAGTGGACGACGACGACGACGACGACGACGACGACGAGGAACAGACGACGATGCCAGGAGGGGGCCATGGGAGGTCGAGATCCCGTGTCGGGCGTCGCACTGATGTCGCCCATCGGACCCGTCCACGGCCGCCGGATGCGCCTTGAACTAGCGACCTCATCCGCGAAACCGTAAACCCCCCCCCCCGCCGCCGCCCCTCTTCATCTCGTGTCTTTAGCCTCTAATAGGCGTCTGGACCTATACGACCCCGGCGGTATCGAGTGAGATATGCGTACCAAACAGCTCAGTGGGTGATCGACCGCCATGTCGGTTGATCGTGCTTCAGTGACATGTCAGATTTCCCGATATTGTACGGAACCGCATGCCATGGGAACACGCAGCATTCAAAGGACCACAAAGTCCCGTTGCGGAATCCCAGAGAGCTGAGTGGCTCGGCGCAGAGATGCTGGATTGGGAAGCTGGGCCGTGATCAAAATGGAAGAGCTTGCGAAATGTTGGTCAGGGCAGATCTCAGCCCTTCAGTCACATCTCATATTTCTCCTGCATCACACAGGGTGAAAATGTGAGGGAAGAAAGCAAAAAGGCTGTCATAGTCGGAGAGAACCCCACCTCTGTGCCGCTGCCCACACAAAGCACACACACACTCCCAGTCTCCCACAGACTCTTGACAAGAGAGACGAAAGAGAAAGCTTTCAGAGCCGAGAGAGATCTGGGCCACAGTCCACTTCCATCGCTAGAGTGACCAGGATACTGGGAGCTTGGACTCGGATTTGGCCCTGGCTTCTGTGACGCTGGCGGGGAGGGATCCCATGTCGCATAGCTCCCAGCTTGTCTGGTATGGTTCCCTCGAACTCTCGAGTGCGTCCCCCCCCCCCGGTCCCTTCGAGCACCCGGCGATCCAGCTTGGTCTCGGTTGGGAAAAGTGCGTAGATCACACTCCCAGATGCCTGCCGGTGGAGTCGGGCGATGTGTGCGCGAAAAGGCGGCTTTGCATATCGCATCGTGATGCTTGGGATTGAAACATTCCCATCCAAGCCCAGTTTGCGCAACTGGGCGAGGCTGGCCCACCCCAATGCGTCCATGTCGTCGGCTGACCTGCGGCTTTGATACAAGGTTATCCCTTCGACGTCGGACAATCGACAGCGGCTAGTACTTCGGACGAGGCTTCCGGCTCCTATCAGCCTTTTCCGCCAAAACTACAGCGCACCACTCGTGGGCTGTCCACACAGAAAAGTGAAGTATCTCACATATCGACTGCTTTGTTAGTGGGTGTTCAGACACTAGATACTCGACTCCTGCTTGTACTCGTCAGGGATGCCATCACTTCCCAACTCTCACGCCCTCTCAAGTGTAAGTCCCCTCAACAAAACCACACATCATATCACATCTCAATCGGCGGTCTCACGGAGTCGCGAGAGGTGAAAGCGAGTTGAATCTGCTGTTTCCCTTGCTACACACGTTTCCGATGCTCGCGACTGGTTCTGATTCTGGTTCTGTACCGTCCCCACGAATCACCATATCTGTGGGCGATTTCCGTGATGAATAGGCTTTCAGAGCAGCGACCATTGACAGTCTCCAGACCCAGAGATTTTGCGCAGCCACATTCCAGCGGTCTAGCGTCATGTCGCTCATCGCGCGAGTCGATCAGATCTCGGTGATGTGCAGAGAAATTTACCGTCGCCCAATTCCCATTGGCCGCAACTCAGCATCCGGCCACTTTGAAGCCTCAGCTCATAGATCGGCAGTGCCGCGATCTGGCGAGGCGGGCTTGGTAAGGGTGTGGGCTGCCACAGTCTTGGGACTCGTAGGCAGCTGACTGTTTGTGGCCAAAAAAGAAGCGCCACGAGAATGGCTTCTCTGTCAGAATCAGAGTCAGAGAACAAGCCGACCGGCTGCCCATGTTCACCCGCGCAAAACTTCTTACGGCAAGGTGCTTGAATCGAGACTCCCGTGATCCGCCCCAGCCCCTCCCTGCCCACTGGAACTGCTACCATCGATCTGCGGAGAGATCAGAAGAAGAAAGGTTGCCATCGTCTGCGAATGACCGAGCGGCGGAGTCGAGCCTTTAGAAGCCCCTTGCAGCCATGGGCCCAGGAATGTTCGAGTTTCGGTGCGTGCAGATGTACCGATTTCAGGTCTCTCCGTCGTCCTCCCCAAGAGTCAAAACCGTCTCAAGCCCCTGGACCCTGATCAGGGCCTGCTGGCATGCTGGTAAAGCTGGTAAAAGAGGCCCACAGTGCCTCATTTGCCTCATTCAGTCATTGCGTCTTCTTTCGCTAACAAGGCCGCCCAGCTGTCATCCGCGTGATGTTCATCAGGGGACTTTACTGACAGTTGTGATTACAGCGCGGCGCCTTCGGAGCATACCGGTGCCTCAACGGCCGAGAACACGCCACCCTGGAAAGGAATACCTACCGGTATTGCCATGTTTCAAAGAGCTCGAAATAGACCGGAACCACAAGATGGACGCTTAACGACGAGCGACTTTGGTCATTGTGATGAAGTTGTTTGAGCGTCTCGATCCGCCTGACCGTCCATCTCGTTCAATATCAGCCCCGTAGAGAGAAGTCCTTTGTGGACTCTGGAGATGGTTTGAGCCTGTTAGATGGCGGTGCAAAGTGGATGCGGCGTCTTGGAGAGCTGATGCTAGCATCTGATAAGTGACATGAGCCCAGGTTTGAGTTCAACTTGCGAAAGTAAGGAGTTCCTCGTTGCTGAGGAACCTTGGAGTTTACGCTCCAAGGTATTGGTCCGGTTCAGCCATGACGCGCCTCTTTGTCCGGTCCCTCACGAAAGCTGGACAGGGAGAAGAACCACATTGCCTGCAAAAGCCGAAGTGGCCTTGTCCTGGTTAGCGGGTCGAGCACCCTGCTTCCCCGGTGCCTAGCAAGCCCATTCTGTCATCCATGCGGCATGACTGCGCTTCCCCCGACCGAGTTAGGTAGGAAATTTGGGAAATAGTCTCAAAAAGTTGAGATGTGATGGTAAAAGGCTGAAAATTTGCCCTCATCCACACCGTCCCTAATCAGCGGATGAAGGGGAAACAGCGCGATTGCCGATGGAGAGAACGGAGGGGC